CACACACACACACACACACACACACCTTGGCTTGCTGACTTGGTCTGGGCTCCATTCTGCCATGCATCTGCATATACTAAGAAGAGCAGACGTGAATCAAAAAAGCGCCCATTTTTGTTGCTCTGGAGACTTGGTTGCTCTACCCATGAGCTATCACAAGGACTCTTCCTTTTGAAATAGGGATTTCCCCTGTAGCTCAGACTAGCCTAGATCATGAGGTCTTCCTGCCTATGTCCTGGGTAGTATTTTGTTTTATGTTTGTTTTTCTGAGGTAGAGTCTGGAACTTGATTGACCTGGAACTCACTATGTAGTTAGACCAGGCTGGCCTCGAACTCACAGAAATCCACCTGCCTCAGTCTCCTGAGTGCTGGAATTAAAAGCTTGTGCAAGCACACCCAGATATCTTTCTTAGTCTTAAATGAGCCAAAATTTACTTTTATTATTTGATTTTAAGATTTTTTTTTTTTAATGTATGAGTGTTTGCCTGAATGCATGTCTGGTGCCCACAAGTCAGAAGAGGGCATTAGATTCCTAGAACTGGCATTACAGATGACTGTGAGCCTCCATGGGGTCCTCATACCTGAACCCTGGTCCTCTTTGAAAACAGCAAGTGCTCTTAACCACTAAACTATCTCTAGAGCCACATACTTTCATTAAATTTTAGCTGGTCCTTTGGGGGATAGTATACAGAAAACTGATTTACACTGTAGAATAAGATACCCTTTATAAAATGATATTTTTTTAAATAACCATGTTCCCCCTAGTCTCTCATAATCAGCTTTGCCAGAGATACAGTTTGAGCTGGCTGTGGGACTGGTGGTCAAGCTGCCACGGTAACCTACATCTAAATCCCAACACTCTCTTGAGTTTGAGACCAGTTTGGTCTGCAGAGAGACAGTTACAGGACAGCCAGAACCACACAGAGAAACCCTGTCTTGGAAAAAAGATTAAGAAATGTGATTTCTAAGTTCTTTGCCTTTTTATTTTTTTCATTCAGTAGTAATATATAAAGTAAAAATGATCTTTTTTTTTTTTTAAGTACTTCAAAGTCTACAAGTTCCACTTGGAAAGAAGTCATATACTACTTTTGGAATCCCCCTACTCGACCCCACATCACAGTTTTAAGGGCTTTACAAATGCTACTGAGTTGGAGCTTCACCCAAAACACTATCTACTAGGAGGCTGAGGGTCTAGTACAATGGTACAGCTAGTGCATAGCATGCTCAAGGCCTGGGGTTCAACTCCCAGCACCACTTTTAAAAAAATCAAGAAGTGTGGAAAAGCATGGTTAAATAACCTTTTAGCTCTATCTAAAGTGAGTTCTGGGATTTGGGTGGTACTGTCATTAAAAAGAAGCACTCCAATTAATTTCATGCTAATTTTTTTATCCTTTTACAAGTAGTGATTATTGCCTAATATTGCAATGAAATTTAAAATGAAAGAAGAATTTTATTGATTTTCTATCATGTCCTATGGGCACCTGCCTCAGAATCGAGTCCAAGTGGCAACTTGAAGATTCAAATGAAGCTGCAGATTATATTTGTTGGGATGGTGTTTCTTGGAAAGTAGAATTAACCAAAAGTTTGGTATCTTTGTTTTTAGCAAATGTGAATTCCCCTGGCATACAGTTTACCCTGATTATCTCATGATCTGCTTGGTGCCTGGAAGCTACAGTTGATCTTCCAGCGGGGATGCACAGACCCACAGAGTAGTTTCCAGGAAACAACACAGTAGGCACTCTGGCTGTTTCCTGAAGGATAATTGAAGTGGTTAGCAGAGAACTACCACCATTTAAAATAGCAATGGACTAGTGGCCAGAGCTATGTGTTGCGTCTTCAGGAATAGGCTGGTTGACCGTTGGGATGGACATGAGAGAGCGGGGTCTAGCACCCAGGTAGCTGCCAGCCTTAGTGTCCAGCAGTTCCAGAGCATACGTTAGGATCATGACTGAGATGAAGAATCACCAATTTGAGTAAAATGATGTATATAGCAGTTCTTGGTACAATTTTAGGGTCATAATTAAAACCAATCAATGTAGATACCTGACTTCAAAGCAACCTCATTTATTTCTCAAGAATTGGTCCCGTTGAGAGCCCTTATGGGGATAACTGTAATTGGAATCCAGCTGGTGCAGTCTAAAGGCTGCCAGGGTTGTATGCAACCTACATCCAACAGGACTAATGATGCATACTAGTTAATACTTAGAATTTCACCCAGGCTGTGATCAAGAAGAAAACTGACCTTATCTCATGTGCTGTGATTTAGAGTCAACCTTATATTGACATTTTAATAATGTAAATTATTTACAATGTTGTATGTTAAAAGAGATGTTGATGGAAAGTTATTATAGTCAGTGATTCATCCTAAGTTAAGCTTAAACTTCTAAATTATGTATAATTTCTTATTTTTGTTTTTCTTATCAACTCACAACCCAAACTGCCTTACAGTCCAGCAAAATTTGATGTCATGTAAAATATCTTTACTCTATTTCCCCAAACCATATTTCCAGTTAATCGAAATAATAATAGAAACTGTTTTTTCTTGCCACTTTATATATATGCAGTTAAGGTTAATATGTTAGAGGATCGCATCAGAACTTACCAGAGAACAGGTGTGGTGGCACCTCCTTTAATCTCAGCACTTGGAGGCAGATGGATCTCTGTAAGTTCCAAGACAACCTGGGCTCCATTGCAAATTCCATGCCAGCCAAAACTATATAATAGAGAGACCCTGTCTCAAGAAAAAAAAAAAAAAAAAAGGAAGTTACCACAGAAACAGTATCAGAAAAGTTAAATAGAATACCTAGTAACTCCTTTAAATGTGAGAAAGTTCATATAATTCTGAAAGATCCTTTTGTTGAGATTGGTCACAGTAAACACAGATACACACCAGCATAGTGATGCATACCTGTAGGCCCAGCACCTGAGAGGAAGAAGCAGAAAGGCAAGGCTGGCCTCATGGCATGGTGAGTTCAAGGCCAGCCTAGGCTACTTGAAACCCTGTCTTTTAAAACACCTAATGCAGGGCGTGCTTATTGATTTTAAAGTCTTAAAGCTTCTACTTTATACTTCCCTGACTTGTGTTTTAGCTTGAGTTTAAGTGAACAAGTCCTGATTGTTTCAGCAAATTACTTAAACATTGGGAATAAACTAAGCTATTGGCACATAGAATGGAAATGTGAATTAAATATATCAGAACTTACACTGAACTAAATTGATGTGTAAAATATTCATTACCATAAAATTCAGAAATAATCTAGCATCTTGACATGCTTCTGAAATAATTAACTATCAGACTGGGTTTTTTTTTTTTTTCTTTTTGAGGGGGTAGGTGGGTATGTTTGGAGTTTTGGGGGGGTTGGGTTTGGGTTTGGATTTTTTTTTTTTTTCATGACACATGTCTATGTAGCCCTGGCTGTCCTGGAACTCACTCCATAGACCAGTCTGGCCTGGAACTCATAGGGATCCAACTGCCTCTGCCTCCTGAGTACTGGGGTTAAAGGTGTGCGCCACCACCACCATCTCAGGCTAAGTTTTTCTACAATGACCTCAGAAAATTCTGAAACTCGAGCTGGGCGGCGGTGGCTCACCTTTTAATCCTAGCACTTGGGAGACAGAGCCAAGCGGTTCTCTGTGAGTTCGAGGCCAGCGTGGTCTACAGAGCAAGATCCAGAACAGGCACCAAAACTACACAGAGAAACCCTGTCTTGAAAAACCAAAAAAGAAAATTCTGAAACTCATTCCTCTTCTAAGTAGGAGGGCAGAACAGCTGAAAGGACCTTCTGACAAATGTTATCCTTCATCACTTATGAAGTTGGAGGCTGCTTCCCCCTTTGTTCTGAAAACACAGACTTAGAGAGGCTTATAACAAGAAGGCATTTAAAATACATTGCTGTGCCCAAAATGAGGTCAGTATTTCTCAATGCACCCCAAACAGAACAAGCATTTTTGGTAGGGAACAGATTGGCCAACGAGAAGCTGGACACGGGCGTGTAGGAGTTCAGTGGTTGGTGGCACAGCACAGGAGAGCCTCAGAGAAGGTAATAGCCTCAGAGCCTCCCTGCTGGGAGGGAGCTGGGAGGCGGCTCAGCCAGAGCCTTGCTGGTTGCTTCCCTTGAGTTTTGCTCTCTTAGAGTCATTCCGCAGATTTCAAAAGACTTAGTTATTATTCTCATCTCAAACTTCTGCACAACTTTCTCCTCCCTCCCCCTCCAAAAAAAAAAAAGAAAGAATCTAAGGAAGGAAGAGTCTGTTGTGACTCACAGTTGAGAGGAGCACAGTCCTCTGTGGGGAAGCAGGGTGGCCGAGCATCGGGGGTCAGTCACATTGTAGCTCAGGTGGGGAGCAAAGAAAGCTGGGACTCAGCTTATCCTTCTCCTTTTCCCTGTTTACTCAATCTCGGGCCCCAGGGCATGGGACTCTGCCACCCACAAGCAGGGATAAAGCTCAGTTAAACCTCTGGAAACTCCTTCAAAGACGTATGTTGACATGTTTTCTGGGTGGTTCCCAATTCAGTCAAAGTGACAGTGAAGACGAACCATCCCAACTGTCAACTCTGAGGAAACGGACAAAAGCACAGGCCATGTATCTATAATACAAAGCCGCGATAGCAGGGCAAAACACTAAGGTTGGACCCTGACGGAAGTCCTTTCCTGGGAGCAGGTCAGGCTTCAGCACTGGGCTATGCTGTGGCAGTCTAATGATTTATACAATAAGGATCTCAAGGTGGGAGCTAAGTAGACTGCAGATTTTCCTCTAGATTGCCTTGTATTTAATTTTTTATCTGAAATTCCAATTATCCCATCTGAGCTTAAACAATTTTAACTCCCATCTTTTAGTAACTGATGAACCTAATTCTGAAATTCTTGACAAAATCTTGAAGGGCGTTCCTGCATAGTCTTTCCAGTGCTGTTAAAATTGTCAGTGGTCACTTGTGTTCTGATTACTTTGAGTTGGGGAACCAACACTGACTCCCTCTTGGGGTTTCCTTTCTTCCTAAGGCACAGGACCTCAGTGTCATTGAAGAAGTGATCCGAATGATGTTGGAGATCATCAACTCCTGCCTGACAAATTCTCTTCACCACAACCCAAACTTGGTATATGCCTTGCTCTACAAACGGGACCTCTTTGAGCAATTCCGAACTCATCCTTCATTTCAAGACATAATGCAAAATATTGATCTGGTAAGTGTACATGGGGGCATTCAGTCTCTGTTATTTTTATTGTTCTTTTTTGATCCACTGAATAGCCCGGGTTGTCCTCAAACTCATGATCCTCTTGCCCCCATCCTCCGAAGCACTGGGATTTATAGGCATGGCACCACACCCATCATGATTCTTTTTTAAGTAGTAAAGGTGAGAAAGTTCAGTTTAGTGAACTGTGGTAAGAACGATCCACCGGCAGTGACTCCCTTTGGACGTGGACTGTATTTACACGGGCTTTGCCCTAACAGTTTGTTCCATCTGTTTTCCTCTAACAGTCATATTCTCTCTGCACGTGTGTTAAATGCCCATGCTTAACAGAATTGAGTTCATGATTTCCTTAATACAATACTATATTTTTACTGAATATTTATTAACATTTTCTATAACGTTATCGATCCTTCTAATATCTCCAAGTTTAATAGCTGCCTGGCCTATATTGTAGATGTCCTAAAATATATTTAACTTTTATTACATTGTTCATTTTCATCATTTCCAGTTTTCCTTATCAATTTGTAATTAATGAACAACTTGTAAATAATCATCTCACACTTAAAATTACAATTTTCATCTTTTTGTTTGTTAGTTTTTTTTTGAGACAGGATGGCCTCAAACTCCCTGCATAGTTGAGACTTGCTATGATCCCCCTGTCTCCATCCACCCCTTAAGATCTGGGTGACAGGTGTATGCCATCATGCCTGGCTTATTTTGGGTAGAGTTTTAAAAATGGAATTTTACTGATTCTCACCATCAGAGGATATCTATCTATTTTCAAGATTTAGTACAGTCTGCCAAATTGCTTTCCAGAAAAATGATACAGTTTGTACATCTGTGTATTGTCATGTGTTTCCACCAGTGACTCATGGGATACTCTGTGCTTTCATAACTTAGAGCATGACAATTGCTAATGTTTGTCATTTTTTATATCAAAAATGGATATTTCATCTTGTCTGTTTGTCTTTCGAGACTGAGTTGCTCTGTGTAGCCCTGGAACTCGCTTGTAGCCCAGGCTGGCCTGACCTCTGCCTCTCCAGTGCTGGGATTAAAGGCGTGCCACCACCGCCCGGCCTCATCACGATTTTAACTTCACTCTCTAGGATGTGTAAACATTTTATGTGTCCGACTACTTCCTGCTCTCTCCAAAAACAGTTTCACTTGTTTTTTTATTGCTGTGTTGGTGATTTCAGATTCATTGGGGTCCATAACTGTTTCTTAAGTAGCTAGCATGATTCACAAAGTATCCTCGTGTAGGTTACATTTGGGAAGACATTTAATAGTTACATTGTCCTCCAAGCATGGATATGTAATTTCAGGAAGAGTGCACATGTGAGTATCTACCTCTTTATTAGTTAGCCCTCTGTCCCTGTGACTGACATGCCTGAGGGACAACATAAGAGGGGTTAGATGCATGCTGAGTCACACTTGCTGAGGTTTCAGACCTTAGTCCTCACCCTCGGTGACAGCGTCACAGCAGAAACCTGTGGAAAGGAGCCTGCACCTCATGGGAACTAGGCAGCAGAGAGTAGAGGAAGGGACTGAGGACCGAGCAGAACCTGGCAAAGCTCGGCCCACCTCCTCAGGACTCTGCACCTCCCAGAACAGCACCGCCAGCTAGGGACCCGCACTGTGGAGTTGCCAGGTGATTTGTATCAAACCACAGGGGTTCCCACGGGGGGCCCCGCCCGTTCAGGTCTGAGGTTCTACATCTAGTTTTACCCACCCTGTAACGGCATCTCATTATAATTTTACCTTGTAATTCCTTGATTGCTAGTGAGCATAGGCAAGTTTCATGGAGATTCAACATTCAAATGTCCTGTTTCGTGAAGCTCTACTTAAATCTTTTGCCAGGCTGGGCGTGAGGGTGCACGCCTTTAATCCCAGCACTGGGGAGGCAGAGACAGGTCTCTGTGAGTTATTCCTTGTTCGTACTACAGTTATGCTGCAGGTTGAGGCCTTGCTTGGTGACATATCGCATATGTGCGGTCACTAACACAGCTCAAGACTTCCTGACAGGACCAGAAACTCCGCTCCAAATGCTCAAGCAGCCAGCACTCTGCTCCTCCCTTCCCTAAACTCCTGCTCCCACTGTAAGCGGCTGCTTCTGAGCAGCTGGGAATTCCGTCCCCGTTCTCCTTTGGTCCAGCTGCTTCCTGTGCCGTCGTCCACTCACTGTCCCCGCTGTTGGCAGAGCACACACACCGCAGTCGTTTTCTGGGTGAAGTGTGAGCACTTTTTCATTGATAAATAATGCACTTACAGGATGGAGTGTGGTATTCCGATATATGTATATATGAGCTGAGGATGTGGCTTACTGGTGAAAGCATGGGCCAGGCGAGAGTTTGGATCCCTAAAGCCTGTGTGTATGCCAGCCCACCTCTGATTCCGGTCTTGGAAGTCAGAGACAGGAGACTCCCTAAAGTAAGGTAGCCAGAGATGAGCTCTGAGTTTGAGTCAGAGACCGCGCCTCAGTGAATAGGCATAAATGCGGTGGTCTGAAGGAGAACGGCCTCCATAGGGTCCTGTATTTGAATACTTGGTCCTCAGTTGGTAGAATTGTTTGGGAAGGGCTAGGGGGTGTGGCCTTCTTGAAGTGTATCACTGGGGACAGGGTTTGGGGTTTACAGAGACCTGCACCGTTCCCAGTGACAGTCCCGTCCCCCACTCCTCCACCCCTGTGCTTTGTGGTTGTGCCTCAAGATGTGAGCTCACGATAAAAGCTCTAGCGCCTTGCCTCCCGGTCTGCTCCCATGGTCCGTGCCATGAAGGTCATGGACTGCAACCCCCTAAAACCATAAGCTCCAAATCAGACACTTTCCTTTATAAATTGGCCTGGCCAAGGTGTCTTACCAAAGCAATAGAAAAGTAGTAACTAAGGCAGTGATCAAGGATGGTTCCCCATAACAACCTCAGGCCCTCACATGCATATGTACGCTTGTGCACCCACTCATGCAGACATGCATATAAACACATGAAAATGGGGGGCTTGTGTGTATAGTGATCAAATATTCTCCAACATGTATCATTTCTTTATGTTTAAACCACTCATAGTTTTCACTTCTAGATATTTGAAATACAATTTTTTTTATTTTTTGTTTTTTGTTTTTTATTTTTTGAGACAGAGTTTCTCTGTATAGCTTTGGAGCCTGTTCCTGGATCTAGCTCTGTAGTTCAGGCTGGCCTCAAACTCACAGAGATCCGCCTGGCTCTGCCTCCCGAGTGCTGGGATTAAAGGCGTGCATCACCACTGCCCAGCTTGAAATACAATTTTTTAAGTATTTCAATTTCCGATGTATGGAAATATTTTTATCTTTTGTATGTATGTGTTTGTGTACATGTATGTATGTTGTGTGTATGAGAGCAGGGCAATGTGTGCCGTCATCAGCATCTCAGCTGTTGGTTCTGCCTTGTTTGAGCCAAGGATTCTTTTTCACATCTGTGTATCATGGCTGCCTGACTCGGCCTGCCCAGGGTTTCTTTTTCACGGCTGTGTATCATGGCTGCCTGACTCGGCCTGCCCAGGGTTTCTTTTTCATGGCTGTGTATCATGGCTGCCTGACTCGGCCTGCCATCTCACCGCAGACACACTGCGATTACAGACGTGCACTACCAGGCCCAGCTTCATTTGTCTTCTGAGACTCCAGACTCAGATTCTCACCCACTGAGCCATCTCTGCAGCCCTGAAAATGTTTTGTTCTTCCATTCCTCCCTCAGATTTCTGGTCTCCCCATCCTTTCCTTGTGCAATGTCTTGATTTTCTGTACCTTGGTTGTCACCAGTCACTTTCAGACTAAAGATTGATGTTCATTGGTGTCAAATTGGGGGGAGTTATTTCTCCCCTGCTATTTCTCTGTGAGTCTTGTTCTTGGGAGCCTCCTCACATCAATATCATCAGACCTTATTTCTCAGCCTAACCGTTGTTCTCGGGTGAGAACCGTCAGGCTCCCTCCAGGGCTCCACAAGCTGTCAGCAGGGTTTCAAAGACTGAGTTAGGAGGAGGTTGCTCCAAGTTGGGGTAGGAGTAGGGAATGACTTCTAAATGCCTCTTGGCTTTGTGTGTGATACCTGAATATGTGCATAGTTTCTGGTCAGGCTTCTGATGTTTCATACTTTCTCTATCCATCCTCATAAGGCAGTTTATCAAAGTAGACTTGTGTTCCCACTCCAGTAGTCTGGTGGAGATTGGTGAGCACTGAACTAAAGCCGGCCTTGGGCCTCAACTCCTTCCATTCCAGTCTCTTCCTGCACAGCACGTGACAGCGGCTGAGTGCTCTGGGGTCCTCAGAATGGTCTGTGAATGGAACTCCAGTGGAGAGTGCTGTAGCCTGACAAAGCCACTGACCTGCCCCACAAAGCCACCGACAAAGAGAAATTAAAAAAATAAATAAATTGCTTCTTGATGGAGTGGTACAAACCACTGATCGCAGCAGTCAGGAGGCTGAAGCAGAAGTATCTGAGTTCAAAGCCAGCCTCAGAAACATTAGAAGACCCTGGAGATGGGTAAGAGGGGAGGAAGAAAAACTCCTTGCTGGTAGTTTAATCAGTGCTTTCTTGTGTCTTTCAGGGTTGCAACTAGAGCAAAACATCGGGCTGCATCTCCTCCTCCTTTTCCGAAACTTGTGTACCACACGAGTGTTACACCAGCTTGTGCATCACACAAGTGTGTACACCAGCTTGTGCATCACACGAGTGTGTACACCAGCACTGGGCATTTTCTAGTTACCCCCACTGCAGCCATAATGTAAAAGCCCAGTACAAATGTTTATTTCCTCAACTGAGACTTGACATTTTAGGCAGTTCTTTAATCCTCGCCATTATGAACTAGTGCTCCAGGTAGATTTGTTGATATTTGCATATATGAAAACCTCCTCCAGTTACATCTCAGTTATTTCTTTTCTAGTGAGCAGAGGGATAGTACAGAGTTAGGCAGTATCTGTTTAACTCACAGGAAACCTTGGGTTTGATCCCCTTGCTTGGGAGCACAA